ACTGTTCACGCTCTTTACGAAACTTCTTCGTTCAAATCTATGTCCCTGTCAATGTACCCATCTACTTTGAAAAATGAAATGGTCTTTCCTTTTATTCCCGATCAACAATCAATTATTTTCTTGAATTATGAATAAAACGAATGAAATTGAAATATCTAATTAACTTATCTCAAAATAAACCTTGATTTCGGTGCAATATTGAAATTAGCTTGAATTCTTCATAACCTCTGAATAGTGGGTGACCCAACGGGTCATGGGTCGTCTAGTATCAAATAAGCTTCTGCAGCACAATTCCCAGAACTTTCCCTGCTTTCAAAACACAGTGGGGTAGGATTTATCAACTTGTTGACAGTATAATGATTACAATGAGAATTGTCTAAAGTATTATAAAATGCTTATGTTATGGCATTGTAGAAATTCTGGGCTGATCCAATAAACTTGTTAGGTATTTAAATGTTGGTTGGAAAGTTCTGAAAATACAGAGGGGGTAGGATTTATTGGTTTGTTTACACAGTACAGTAACTGCAGTAAGAATTGTCTAAAGTACTATATAAAAGTGAGAGAAGATATTTATGATATGGCCTTGTAAAAAGTTGTATCCGATTCAATAAATGTGGGTGGTCAGAATTTAGTGGTAATACAGACGTGCAAGTGCTTATGAACATCCTATTTCTTATTTTACCATGCTTACATAGTAGCCAATAAATGCATAGTTTCCAATATTTTGTAAGGTACAGTGAGGTTTGGGTTACCATACATTTTATATGTGTATATATATTGTTGCGTCAGCGAGGTCACGTGACTAGTATCACGCCACTCCTTCTCTTGAACCTTCGTGAATTATTGGGAGATTACTAGATTGGGGGTAGTCTGGTATATATAAAATGGTCACAACGTGACAGGAACAGTGTAGTGAGTAACTGAACTGCTGTCGGAGAGTGTGTAATTGAACTAACTATTGTCGAGCACGTGAGATGTTCTAGCATTTGTTATAGAGCGACTGTTGAAAATAAGTGTATC